TGGCCAGCTCTCAGTGGGTGGTGGCTGCTGTAGAGCCCTCTTGGCAGCACAAACCACCCTCCTATGAGGGCTGCAGGTGCCTCCCTGAGCTCCAGTCTTGGGTGTGTGTGTGGGGTTCACACCTTAGTTCTATCCCAGCCCTACTTCCCATGGAGCAGTGGGGAGATGGACAGATGCTGGGTGGTGAAGGTATTCCTTGTCACAAACCCCACCCTTCTCACCTTCATACCATCTTATTTCTTGCTATCCCAAAGACCAGTGCAGAAGAAGTTCCTCCTGTCGGAGGGACCCCTTCCTGCTGCCCCTCTGCCATGCGGGAGGGCCTGGTGTTCCCCTGTATTGGTGATGGCTGCTGGCAAATGTGGACAGGAGAGCTTGGAGGGCCATGCCCACCCACATTCTCTTGGCCACAACCAAACCATGACCCCTTCAATGCCAGAAGCCAGGGTGCAGCCTGGCTGTTCCTAGCAGGCAGAGAAGTGGGTCCAGGGAGCCCAGGCTCCCCCAGAGCATCGAGTAAGACCCCCAGGAACGCTCCTTGCAGGCAGTGTGTCCAGACCTCCCAGGGCATCCCCACCCCTGGCTGTGGAACACAGTGGACAGATGGGCCAGAGGCCAAGGAGCAGGGGTGTCTGAGGAGGCCCAGGGGAGAGCTTCAAAGAAGACCCCTCACCATCCGCTGGACCTTCCACATTGATCCACCACCCAGCAACGAGGGCAGGCAGCCTGTTGATCTTTGTGAAGGACAGTGTTTCTCCAGGGTCACCTGGGGCCCCTGGGAAACGGCGAGTAACCTGGCATTCTGGGAGGCAGGGAAGATGGAAGAGGTTAAAAGAATGGTCTGGCTTAGAGTGTGGTGACCCAGAAGTTTAGTGACAGCACAGTCAGAATGAATTTCCCCTGAGCATGTCCTGCGTGGACTGGCAGGGGCTTTGCCCTACACACATGGGCTGGCTGTGGGCTGAGGGGCACCACCAACCTACAGCAGCTGCGCCATCTTGAACACATGGTTGGCTTGGCTCCCAGGGCAGGGACAGATAGAGTGGAGACACTCAGGTGGCTTTTCACTGCCCACCTTCAAAGTGACCCTCCCCATTTTTCTCACATTTGGTTGGCCAAGTACAGTCCTTCCAGTGCTCGGGAGAGAACGGCAGCTGCTGGGGAGACCGTCTGCATGGTCACTCAAGGTGTTGGGTGGACCCCGAGGTACTGTCTCTGGAGGGATAATCCTGTGTCTCCTGGTCTTACTAGAAAGGCGTGTGGCGTCTCTGCTAGCCACAGTACACTGACGTCAGAATGCAGCTCCCACTCTCCACGAGAGATGTTTGATCTGGGCTGTGTACTTCCTGGCCATTTCAAGAAATTTGGGACATTGAGAAGAAAGGGAGTGTGAAAAAATGCCCTCCTGTGTCCTCAGGGGGACTCTGCTGGCAGGGCTCACCCAGCCCAATGTTTCCCAAAACTCCATTTCTCATCCTATCGTCATGTCGTGGAGAGAACATGGTGAGCACCTGTGCCAGAGAGACTGAGCACGCCCCATGTCTCAGGAAAGCACACGCCTGATTCAGAAAGGGACACCACTGGAGTAAGGGGGGTGCAAATGCACAGAATGTGAAGAATCAGTGAAACGCCCATGAATCCTAGCTAGGCAGTCGGCACAGGAAGTGCTACCTTTTGGTTTTAAAAACAAGGATTTTGCACTTGTTCAAAAATTGCTCACGGTGGGTTGGGCCTCTCCCGGGTGCAGTTGGGAAGACAGGGAGAGGATGGGTGGGTTTACACAGCGCTCCACCTGTGAGCACCTAGGAGCATCTGGGAGCCCACCAGTGGTGCACTTTTCCACTTGTGAGTCCCAGTAGAGGCACAGGGACACAGGCCCCTTGGCAATCTGCACCAGCTCCTGAACAAAGTTGGTATCTCTTGAAACTGCTACGGAGAATATTTTTATCTGATTGGAAAACAACAATAAAACTGTCTGGTGTAAAGGCCCATCCACACAGCATGAACAATTAGTGCTATTTAATTACCGACAAAATTAGGCTCACAAATTGATTTATGGCCCTGCAGATGAAGTGCATATTCGTGGAGGAAGGCAAATTTCTTGCAATTAACTTGAGCGAGACAAGGCAGGTGATTCTGTTGGGAAGTTGTCTCAGAGTCGGGGGCTGCAGCCAAGAACTTCATGGGCCTCAAAACTTCTCCAGTTCTTTCTAAGGAACGGCCTGACCTACAATTAGTCATGCTAATTACCCAAAGAGGATTGGCCGTGCAAGCCCAGGGAGTGGGGAGCAATTCTTATATCTTATTTTAGCCACAGATCAGGTATCCAGAGTAGCGGCTTCCCAAAAAAGTTTCCACACCAAAAAGTAGAGAAAACTTCTGTCTCGTCAACGATGCATAATGAAGAAATAGTCTAACAGTTTAGGCAGTCTAACAGTTTGGAGCTAGAATCAGGCAGTCACTTTTTATCTTAAGGACATTGAGAAATCCTGTGTGGCAACCAACTGGAAAAGAAAAAGGCATGATGACATTCAGGACAAACGACACAGTTTGATTTATAAAAACATTATTTTTAATAAAGCACAGGGGCCATTAATTTCTAATCAATAAATCTGAGAAATGCCTTAAAAGAGACTTAGGTACACAGTGAAAAATACAGGACCTGGATTAGGCATGCGGGGCACATAGGCTCTGCCACCCAGAGCCCTGGTGAAATGACGCAGGAAACAAACCTCAGATTCCCTTAGTCAGGTGGAAGAGGTGGGGGAGAAGATCCCCACGAGGGCCAAAGCTTCTGGTTCCCAGATCCCGTCCTGACATAAGCAGCCACACTGCATGGACCTGTCAAGAGCACGGCTTTGAGTCTCACCTGGGCCCCCGTGTCAGGGCTGGGGATGGGCCCAGCAGGCCCAGTTTTAACAAGCTGCTGATGCTGGCTCAAATGTCAGAAACCACCAAACAGACAACCTCTGAGGGTCTCTGAAGTCTCAGGTCTCCCGAATGTTATAGGAGAAAGACAAATTAAAAAGCAAGTTCAAGAACTAAACAAAAGAGACAGACAGACATTCAGAAAAATACATGTAGGGTAAGGAGCCGTGCACATCTCAAAGGGAGACACTCAGAAAGACAATATCTGAAGAACAGCCCTGGCTTCTCTGATCCTCCTTGAAACTCTGAAAGCTAAAACCTCTTAAAGCTTTGGTATATTTTTGCAACCGAGGCACGTACAATCAAATGTCTGTTTCTCCCTTAGCCTGATGGTGGTGACCCTGTTCCCTCCTTCCCTTTATTTTTTTATCTTGAGACAGGGTCGCACTAAGTTGCCCAGGCTAGCCTGGGTCCTCCTGCCTCAGCCTCCTGAGTAGCAGGGGTAACAATCCTGTGCCAGTGTCCAGCTGTGGTGACCCAGTTTTACCTGGATCTGGTTTGACTTGGCTGGTTTAAGAGTCTTTAGAGATCCACAGAGCTTTCCTCTGCTCTCTCTGATTACTGCTCTGTTTAATTCCAAGGCTCCCACCAAGCAGAGCAGTCCTCAGGCTGGAAGTCATAAGAGGGTGCCTAGGGATCTTGGATTGGGTGTCTGAGTCATTCAGGAAGGGATCAGGGAACCACCATGTCTTTCCTCTCCTGGGGCAGCCTCCTCCCCACTTTCTGGTCCCTGCTCCCAGTGGGCCAGCTTGGGGGTCAGGATGGAATTCTTCTAGGGACGCTGACTCSAGTTCATTCTAGGATGGTGACCTCAGGGGTCACAGGCTTCCTCATGCAGAGATCACTGGGAGACATCTAGGGCCTGGCGAGGGCCCCTCCAGCCATCCACGTGCTCATGCCTAGCGAGGGTCAGCAGCTTCCCACAGGCCAGGGACGTTCTGGCAACCCCAGGTTCTGGGAAGAAGCTGAGCCATGGACCTTCTAGAACCTGCATTGAGGAGGGGGCGGCTCTCTCCTTGCCTTCCGCGGGGTGTCCACCACCTCCCAACAACCCTCTCCTGTTTGCACACGCAGCGAGGGCGACAGAGGGCGGGGGCGGGGACCACGGGAGGTGGGACTTACTTTGCGGATTGGGGCTCACAGCTGTCACTCTGAAAGGGTGGGGCTTTTTAAAAAAAAGACAAATTTTTAAGGCAAAACCCCCAACACGCACCGGGCACTGTCGCGATCGCCAGCGCTCCGGATGCAGTCTTTGTGGAGCGGGGCCACCGCGCCTGCTGGCGGGCGGCAGCTGCGGCTCACAGCCGCGTCCCCGAGCCAGCGGTTCCTCCTCCGCGCACATCTGGCGCGCCTCCCCCGGTCGCCGGCTGGAGCCGCGCGTCTGTGGAGTCGGCCGTGCGCTCGGCGCGCGTAGAGCCCCGCAAGCCCGGGCCCGGCGGGGCGGCTGCCGGGCCGAGGGGCGGCTCGGGGGCAGCTGCATCCACCAAACTTTGGGCGCGAGGGCGCGCAGCACGAGCCCCGGGGCGCGGCGGCCGCCCAGGATGGGGGCTGCGTGCCAGGGCGCCCCCAGCCGCCCCGCGCACAGGGCCACCCGCCCCGGGGCCTCCGTGCCTCTTCTGCCTGAACCCAGGGCTCTTCAGCCCGGCTGCCGGGACCACCGCCCCCGCGGCTGCTAGCCAGCCGGGGGCCACCAGCCGGTCCTCTGACAGCCCTGCGCCGGGAGGCGCCCTGCCTGGGCCACCGGCAGCCCCTCTTCACTTGGGTAAACAGGAAAGGAAAAACCCCTGGTGGATTAAACATTAAAAAAATAAATCCCGGTGGGGTGAAAGAGGGGGTGGGGCTTCCTGCGGGTGTTGGACTCCGGAGAGCAACTCCAGAGCCCGCGCGGTGGTCGCCTCCCGGCCAGGAGATGGACAATCAGGAGGAGGGCGCAGGGCGCCGGGGCTGCTCCAGACCCTAGCCGCCTGCTTTTCGCCATCCAGCCCGGCTCCGGTCCTCCAGGGGTTTGGCGACGTCTGTTCTTACCTAGACGGTGTCAGGGAAGCTGAAAATCTTCATTCCGGGGCTCCAGGATGTGCCCCAGTGAGATGGGAATGCTGTGGCACCTTTGGTCCCCCGTGCTCATCAGCCTGACCGCCCTTTTCTCCAAAGGTGAGGACCCCTCCACCTTGGGCCCGGGACTAACTTTGCCTGGAGTGCATGTGGGAGAGTGCGGGGCTGTGGGTGGCAGGGAGCGAGGGCGTGGATGTGCGCGGTGTGTGTGTGCAGGCGTGTTGCAGGGGTCATGCTCAGCGGTCCCTCGGCGGCTGCAGGTCCTTCCCCTGGAGGACCTGGCTAGGATACCATGGGGGAGACTGCAAAGGAACCCGAGGGAATTGAAGGTTGTTGCCGGAGGACAGTAAGACAGGGGGTTGTAAGGCTCTTGATAGAGAAGGTGGCTGCCAGAGTGCTGACCCCAGGACAGGAAAGGGGGACTGAAATGACCTGGAAGATCCTGGGATCTGGAGTTGACTTCTCTGCTGGCACCTGTTTAGAAATAATTTTGGAAAAGTCTTATCATATGGGAATTCCATTTAGTACACCTGAGGCTGCTAAAAATAGGGCTTAGGGTCAGCTCTGAAGAAAGGGTCTGGAGTTCCTCTGCCCAGCCCACACAGAGGTTTCAGTACCAGGTCCCCACAGGCACCTTCCTGGGGTGCCTGGGGAGCAGCATCCAGGGAGAGGTTAACTGCAACCTGGGTCCCGAGTTCCCAGCAGGGCCTGACCCATCCATCTCTCTCGGCTCTCAGCATCCCTGACKGTGAGTTTGAAACCTCGGGACCTTAATTGTTTGCAGAGAAATTGTTTGATACTCAGAGCAGATTGTAGAGAGGACCAGCAATTTTTTTTCTTACTGATTGGGACTCTGTCTGTGTGAGGTTTGCCCCTTCAAGTGCCCCTTTCCTACAGAGGCACATATTGGGAGAAAGTGGAGATATTTAGCAGTCTAAAGCGTGATCTGAAAAAACCCTGTAAACATGTTTTTCTATGATTATTTTCAGGGTAAGATCTCTCTTAGAAACTTCAGAGTCAGTTACCACACATTGAGTGTTTCAATTACATGAATTTTCTGTTCCCTGGGTTTTCCCAGTATCAGGAGGCTCTGTGGCTTTGGATCAGGTAGATCTAGACAGTTCACCCGCTGGGCTTTTGTGCTGCTCCCATTAAGAAAGAACATCATATGTTCATCCACTCCACTGTCTTCTCAAGTGCAGCTGAAATGGACTCGGGTCTCTCAATTATGTGTTAGAACAATCCYGATGACCAGAGCTAGTGAGAGTTATGCTGTACACAAGAAACTAGAGGAGAGGTTGGTGAATTCCATGAATCCAATCCAGGCTGACATGAGGCTTAAAATACCCCTACCCATGCCACAGCCTGGCTGGCAAGAATGGCCAGGAGGCAAGTTCTTTACTGGTGGTCACTGGGTTTTATAATAAGAATAGGTGTCTCTGCTTTCATGCTGCAGTAACAAGGTTTTGTGAAGAAAGGCACAGGGTAGCTTTGCAAAGATGACCTGTCAACTGTGTTGTTACGCAGTTCCCTTACAGATCGATTAGACCAGGCAGTGTGAGAGAGCTGAATTTCCCGGATACGTCTGAACTTTTCCAAGTGGAAGCGCTGAAAACTTCCCCAAGTGATGATTTTCTGTAAACGTGGAAGCCTTTTTTCTAAATGGCCAGAAATCAGCTTCTGGGTGACAGTATAAACGCAGCAGATGACAACTTCCGTCTGTTGATTGTAGAGAACTCAACTCAGCCAGACAGTTCAAGAGTGACTCTGTTGTGTTGGGACTTCCCACTGTGCTCAGCGCAGCCAAGCACATGGTAGGAATTCAGTGATCATGTACACGGTGCCAGAGAACACGGGCAAGTTAATATTGTGAAATTGGGTAACATGGAACTTCACGGTGCAGGCATGGCTCATCAAACCAGGGTAGGCCAGTCCTTCCCCAGCACGTTCAGATTCCTTCCCCTCTGAGATTATGTGGCCACTTGAGAGCTCTGACCAGCCTGAAATCAAGTGTTGGCCATATTTAACAGGGTTCTGGTCAGAAGTAAATGCACACACTCTAAAACACCTAATTCATCTGGCACTGGATGAAAGGTAGGGATTGCTGTTGTCAGTTATTAAACACATGCTCCTGCATGATACCAGTTTTACCCCTGTGTCTCTGTGCATTCCAAATAAGAATTCTTGGGTAAAACAGAGTGTGCATTTGGACACCAGGCTAGCACCCTTGGATTTGATGGCTGCTTAAATTCCATGAGCAGAAAATGATTAGTCATAGAGCAAACCTACACTCATCTAGCTGTTTTAAAAATACAAATACAGATAAAATGTCATTTCTTGTACTTCTATCTCCTTGGGACCTAGGAGCAGTGGTATGAAAAAGAAAGTTTTACCAACCCCTTGTCACGTGGCCCCAAACTCATGTGGAGAACAGCCGTTGATTAAGTTGCTGGGAGCTTGCGTCTCACTTCAAGTGCTGGTTGGTGTTGGGAGTTGCTGTAGATCTCGGATGTGCAGGTGGCAGATGGTTAGTGCTTCTCTGTGGGCTTCCTGGGTAGAGGCAGGTGACAGGAGGGTGAACTAAGAAGAAGGTTCAGTGGGAAGATGGAGATGAGCAGAGAGCAAAGTGGTATTTAGACACAGAGCAGGAAGGTCGTCACCTTAGGCTGCCGTGGCCATCTTCCCTGCATGCACCCTTCTCAGCCAAATTCTAGTGACAAGCAGAAGCTCATGGACCTGCAATCAGGGAAAAAAGTTGTGGCACCTGTTCCAGGCCTCCTGGGCAGGGACTTCTCATCCTGTGCCGAGGGCTTCTGTGCACAGAGCTTCTCTCCTGGGTCCACTTGCATAATTCTCCCACAGAGAGGGGACAGAGAGAGCTTCAGCTTATACTGGCACCTTTACTAGGGTTCAGGACTTTTTAGGGCAGCAAAAAATACCAGGAGGAAGTGTGTGTGTGTGTGTGTGTGTGTGTGTGTGTGTGTGCGTGCACGTGCGTGTGCGCATGCACATATGTGCAACTTCATTGCTCACATTCATACCCTGTCAAAATTAAAAGGCTGGGGAATGGAGAGACCGCTAAATTCAGCTTTTGTGAATTAAGGAGTTAAAAATATCACTTTATTGAAAGTACTTATATGCACAGAAATGAAGAATTCCAAGTTTGAGATGTTTAATTGAGTTCTACTTTCAAGACCCAAGGAAAAAAATGAATAAACAAAACAAATATTCCAAAAATATATTATTGTAGAATCTTACATTGCATGTATTTCCAATTTATGAATCATATATCCATCTTCTCATCTATGCATCCATATACTCATCTACCTACCCACCCACCCATTCATCCATCTATCCACCTACCCACTCATCCATCCATCCATCCATCCACCCACCCACTCACCCATCCATCCATCCACCCATCCACCCACTCATCCATTCATCCATCCATCCACCTACACACCCACCTGTCCATCCATCCATCTATCCATCATCCATCCATCCATCTACCCACTCATCCATTCATCCATCCATCCACCCACTCACCCACCCACCTATCCATCCATCTATCCACCCACCCACTCATCCATACATTCATCCATCCACCCACCCACTTACACATCCATTCCTCCATCCATCCATTCATCCATCCATTTGTCCATCCATCCATCCATCCATCCATCCATCCATCCATCCATCCAGTATGGAAGGTTGTGTGTTTTCAGAGACCACAGAAAAGGCAGAAATTACCTTCAGGTGTTTTGAAGACATGGGGTCTGGCTGTCCAGGGCCCCACTGGCTGGGGAAGCTCTACATAGTCAATTGTCTGGATTTCAAAGTGCCACAAGTCATTGCTCCACTGTTGTAAGTTGTAAGCACAAACCTGGGTGGTTCCATGTTCAGCAGTCCCCTCTTTCTTTTCTCTTCTGGTTCCATCTCCCTTTGCTATTTTATAATGACCCCTCCCTTCTGACCACAATGTGCCCCTATGCTGTGCTGAGCACAGAGAATATAGTAATGAGGAGAAAATCCAAAAAGGTATGGTTACCACCCTCACAGAGCTTGCAGTCTGTGGAGGAGACAGAAAAATGTCATGTGCACAAGAGAGGAGAGGTGTGCTGACCCCTGTGCTGTGTGCTTAGAGTGGCAGAGCATCTCTGGAGGCAGGACTGCCAGTGTTTGACTGGAACATCAGGGAAAGACAGGGGCATTACCTGGAGGACAGGGAGAGGGAGGTGCAGTGGTCAGTGGGGGATGTACAAAGAGGATGAGAACAGGTGCCTGTCCGGGTGGCTGGGCTGAAGGAGTTGAGGGGGGGCTGTTGCGTGAGGGAGAGGACCAGAGGTGGCTAGAGATGGGGTGGACAGGGGTCAGCACCCACTGCTTCCTTAGAATTGTCCAGCTAGATGATAAATGTGGTGGTCACTGCTTCATGGGCTTTGTGAGCAGCTAGGTCTGTGTTAAGTAATAGAAACAGGACAGAGTGACTTTAAATCAGAGGGTACATAAGTTTCCCATGCTGCTACAGCAAATGGCCACAGACACGAGGACTTAAAACAACACAAGTTCTGGAGGCCAGTGGGCCCACTTCCCGACACTGGGCTAAGCCCAAGTCGTCTGTGGGAGGGGGATCTTTCCTGCCTCCTGCAGCTCTGGCAGCTGCCAGCATTCCTTGGCTTGTGGCCAGTCAGTCTACCTGCAGGGCTGCTCTGCGGTCTCCCTGCCCCTCTGAGTGCCGCTGTGTGTGCGTCTTCTCTGGCCTTTGGGGAGGCTGGGTGGATTGCAGTTAGAACCAATTCACACCATTGGGCAGTCCCCTTGTCCAGTTAGTCCCTTCTTCAGTTAGTCCTAATTTTCACTTCCAAACAAGGTCAGGGACACTCATGGTTTCCTGTGACTCACATGAGAGCATCCTTTGGAGGTAAGGGGCATTTTCCAGCCACCCCCAGGGGTAACATTTTCAAACTACTTTGTAAATGTTCTCCAAAATTTCCAGTTCACCTCGAGGCAACTGATGTTTATTTTCCTTCCTATCTTTGATTCTTTCTATTTAGCATAGCACTTTGGACATTGCAAAGGTACAATAAAAATTTCAAGTG